TGAAATATTCTCTAGTAGATATTGTCCTATTAGAGTTGTGATCCTATTAGGGTAAGGATTTAACCTATCATACTACTATAAATAAAGGCACAATGGGGTGAAATACAATACACCTCACAATGAAATCTTTCTCTTCTCTCTCTCTTGCCGCTAGCCTCCCCTTCTCTATTCCCTTAGAATAGTTGAATCAATTAGGCTTACAACATTCCTTTATTAGTTTATTTGTTATCATATAAAAATGGTGAAGCTTTCGATATCCCTATAATGTTCTCACTTCAATAGAGAAGAATAATGAACTATCGAGACAAAATAGTAAGGATAAATTACATTTTACCCCCTCATGTTTGAGTGCAATTGTAATCTCATACAACATCTTTAAAACATTTTAGTCACATATATTGACTTATCATTTAATTACAATCTCATACATCCGTTAGTCAAACTGTTAATTTGACCGTTAAGTGTTGACATGAAAAATATAAAATCCATATATTTTTATGACTTGGCAAATAAAAACAATTAAATATTACAAATCAATTAAAAAAAACTAAATTAAACAAAATAACCCCACTTATCTCTCTCACTCATTTCTCTCTCTAAAAATCTCCAACCCCAAACTCAGTGCCTACAACCACTTTTCACCTTGTTCTCCGACAACCCGACACACCCAGATGACTCAGACAGCGGCTCCACCGCCGTTCCTCATCGATGTCAAACCACCAACCCAATGTTCCTTATGGAACAAAGCCTAAGTTTCTACGTGGTGATTTTCAAAACCCAGCCCTCGAATTGAAGAGCCTTGTCTCAGACCCTACTTTCCACGGCAAAGTCGACAACATCCTCCTCCCTCTTCTCTCCCTAACCACTCCGACCAAAGCCCATTTATCTTCGCCGAAAACTGAAATCGCAGAGCTAACCGATTCAGAGACCTCAAATTTGGCGCATCGTTGAGATTTAAGCCGTTGGGGAGAAAGAAATTCGCGGCCATCCGCACCCGCTTCCTTCTTCGTTCGTCCCCCATCCCTTCCACCACCAGAATCATAACCTCTTTCATTTTTCTGTAAAATCGCAACCCTAAACACTTTGCAGAGAATAAGACTATGCCTTTCTTTTGAATTATTGATTTTCTTCCTTTCTTGGCTCATGATTTCGTGCTCTTGGACCCCTGGTCTTCTTTAAGCGTCTATGGCCATTTGGTCGTTGGTAGTGGTGGTGAGCGGTGGTGCAGTGAGGTCGCCTGAGCAACTTCAGCAATGTAGGCAGATCGGCCACATCCCAAAAAATCCTAAAAGCATGAAATCTGGAGGTAGCAGTGGGCGAAGCGGTGGTGTAGCGGTGTCATTCTGAAGGCAGAATTGGGTGAGGTGGAGAGGAGAGTGAGGGGTGTGCGGAGACCAAGAGAAGAAGAGAAAGATAGTAGGGAAATTATGGGTTGGGGAAGAAGGAGAGAGAGCCCTTCTATAATTAAAAATTATTTTATTAATTTTTAATCCATATGTCACATGTATATGGGGCCCGTGAGATCCACATAAGCAGATAACTGAAAATCTAACAAAAATTGAGACGGTTGTATGAAATTCAAATGAAATAATAGTAAAGGTATGAAATTGAAATGTTTTAAAGATGTTGTAAGAAGTTGTAATTTCATCCAAACTTGAGGGTGCAAAATGTAATTTATCCAAATAGTAATTTTACATGTTTTAAATATTAATTAATCGTACATGTTTTAAATGTTAATTAATCTTCCTTTGTTTTTGAAGTTTTTATTAAAAAAAAAAAATGTAATTAGATCTAAAACAGAAATAAAACTTAATTTTTAAATTACAGAAAAAAGACCAATTCTTACACGTGTACGTATGTATTAGAAGGCTAGTGGTACATAACATAAAAGGGTCAAATGTGTGATGCTAAAAAGCAGGAGGAAGCAATGCAAAGTCTTAACTTCTCTTGGCCATTATTTGATTTGATAATTGTGGTGAACTACCACTAAAGACTCAAGTCACTCAATTCTTGTGGACATCTAAATAATCCCAATTCTTGGGAAAATACGTTTATATATTGGAATTAAAAATTAATTAAGAAATGCAAAGTTTTATTGAAATGCAAAGTTTTAAAGAAATGCCGTTTGCATGTGAGTGATTGATCGATGCATCTAGAGATATAGAAATATCCAATTCTTGGGAGATTCTACAACGTATGTATGTCAATCTTAACTCTTATTTGTTTTTTGCTTTGTTTTTTGGTTTTTTGTTTCCTGTTCAAAATGATTATTCCATAAAAAAAAAGTTACATCAATAGCATTTTTTTAAGTAAAGAGATTCGAGCATAAGAGAATTGCTGCATTTTTTTTTTTCATTTCAATTTTCTGTTTAAATGGTGGTGTTTTACTTTTCAATACAAAAAAAAAAAAAAAACACCTTGTTGGACGGAAATTTTTTGTCGGATCAAAGGTGGCTTCGTCGCTTAAATTTTAGCCGACAGAAGTTTGTCGGGAAAAGTTGGTCATGCAAAACCCATTGCTCAAAGAGAGTTTCATCGCCTAAAAGTTTACCTGAAAGTTGGAATTTGAAAACATATTTGTAGGCATGTTTTTGGATATATCGGTTTAGGCTAAAAAATGGAGATTTTCTAATTATATCTCTGCCGGCAGATTAGGGCTATTGCTTATTGATCAAGATGTTTTTGTTTAAGAAAATTACATTTTCTAGCCCATTGTTTATTTGAAACTTGGATGTAGTGTTAGATGTTGATTTCATTTTGTTGTTCCGTGTTGGTAGTTTACTGCTAAAGATTGCGATGATTCTTTATGTAGACAAGTTGTTCATCCTTTTGTGTTTGTTATTATTTTCTAAAGAAAGATCACCCCTAACGACAAACTTACACTACCATGATTGAGAAATAGACGCAGACATCGAGCTTATCACAAATATATATTTTACTCGCAATCATATAAATGAGTTGAACTATACTCACATTTGTGTATGTGAGTTGAAGATGAGTAGAGTGCTCTTACATGGTAAGATTGCACCGTGTCATTACGTGACAATGATATAACACTTTGTGGAGATAACTTTATTCATATTATTGTATTATTGGTACAATATGTAATGATATATCTAAGTTATTTTATATATATATATATATATATATATATATATATATATATATATATATAAGGCATGCTCTAATTAGGAGTGTGCATTTTAGTGGATCAACCAACCAATCCAACTAAAATAGATTGAGTTTGGTTAGGTTGAATATATTATAGGGAACTTTAACGAAAAGCTCCCAGTACTGTTCACTTTAATGAAAAACCACATTTTTACACTAAAAAGTCAATCTTGGTACTATTCAATTTACTCTTTATTTTGTCCTTATCATTAAAACTCAAAGTTTTCAAGTCATTTTCATTAGTTTTCCTTATATTATAACCCGATTGAAATCGAGTCACCCACAATCAACACTTCTTAAACACACATGTATATTATATAGACATATATATAAAATTCAACAATTCTTAACGCATTTGTGTATTTATACTTGATTTGAATGGTGAAGATTTAATGTTAAGTAACATGTAGTGATTTACAACATTGAATTTACATGATTGAGCCTAATATAATACGAGTCTTCAATATTTTTCACTCATACTCACATTAAAAATAAGAAAACAACAATTAAGCCCAACAGGTGGAACACGGCAAAAAATAATTTGGTAAGTTGGTTGCCTATTTGTTTGAGTGATAATGTGTTTCAACAACGCCAACCCAACTCTATTAGATTTGGGAACAGATTGGAACCTAGCCCGAGCTAAACCACTAAATGCCCACCCTTTCTAAGGCCATTTCCAAACCTGAGCTAAAAGTCAAATTACCTCCCAAATTACCCCCCCAAACACTCTCCAACCCATGTTAAAATTTTAGGCTAAATGCCAAATGTTATTTCTGGGCCAAATACCCCCTAGCTTTCCCCACGGGCTAAATGTCAAATGTTTATCGGAATTTAAAATTTTTTATATTAAAATGTTCATAAAATTAATTTATAATAATCTACATATTTATTTTTTTTTAAAAAAATTGATTTAAGAAAAAAATTAGCCTAAGTTCATTCTTTAATAATTTCGGGTTAAAATTTTAGGACAGTAGGGTTGGAGCAGAAAATATGTTTCTGGGCTAAAAGCCAAATTTTCCGGGCTAAAAAATTTGGCTTTTAGCCCAAGGATTGGAGATGGTCTAACTAAGTGAAAATAACTTATTTTAAATAATAATTAATCAGCTAACATTATTATTATTATTTTCAAAATAATAAGTAACAATAGCTTATCATGACAATTAATAAATTAATTATTACAGATGATTTCTTATCAAACAATATATGATATTAAACTGTTCATAACATCATTTTCATAACGTTGATTACAATGAATCTCCATCCATACATTTTTTAATTACGAATCTCGCCAGAATTCTCCATTCAACATCCAGTACGCAATCTAGAATTTTAGAATCCTAAAATAACAAACAATTCCAAAAATAACAGAAATAAAAAACTTCCCATAATTTTCACGACATTCCGACTGTCAGATCCTCATCAACATCATCGATCACTATTTTCCAAAACTAACCGTTCGGGTCCCACAGGAGACTAACCTTGGGCCGCATATACCGTCCAGACTCATACGGTGCCATTCTGTACAGTGCGTACAGTTAGCAGCGAACGCGCCAAACGAGTAGTCTGAAAGGTGAACTCCTCGGATGGTTTGACATTACTGTACTTTAATAAAAAAACTGCTTTTCTTGTGATGTAAATTTAAGCTTATTTTTGCTGTTTTACGTTTTCAGCTTTTTCTTCGTTTAAAACTGTGAAAATACCATATTTTAAAATATTTACCAAATATTTTTTTAAACTCAACTTTTTTATTATACCCATTTTTTTTATAAAATCATCTCATACCAACCCCGTACACGCTGGCACCGGAGAGAAAGGAGGGATTCCAGGACCGCTTCGGTTGACTCCTTTTTTTTGGAATCTTCCGAATAAAGAGGTGAGAGACAATTAAAAATCCCCCATTCGGCGATTTCTCTGGATTCCGATTCCCTCAGACGGAGAATCCCAATCCCACCAAGCGGCCCTAGAGAGAGAAAGTTAGAAAGAGAAGGGGATAATTTCATTTCCCTCTGTAAAATTGGTTCGGAATTCGATTCAATTCCCCACCTCTTTTCTCTCAGGTTAATTGGGTTTTGGTTCAATTTTGATTTGGTCGAGTTTATGTTGATTTTGTTTTTTATTTTTTGAATTTTGGTTTCAAATCAGTAAAATTTGAAATATTTTATACTAATTTGAATATTTTCTGTTTTGATTTCAGGGTGCTGGTGATTTTGCGACTATGGGTGTGACCGTGAAGCAGATGTCTCTGACAGTGGCACTTTTCGGTGTTCTCTCGTTCATATTCGGAGTTATTGCTGAAAACAAGAAGGTAATCCGCATTCCTAACATGTTCATGTGAGGATAAGATTGTAAAGTTATGGCCTGATGAATGCTTTGTTGTGTAAAATTGGTGATTTTTGTGTTAGGGGACTGAGTAGTTCGAATCCGGCTCCCGCTGTTAAGTTTCGATTAAATTAGAATATCTTCCCGAATAAAGGGAAGAATCATCGTTTTTGAGGGGGTCTTTTTCTGTAAATTTTACTCAACTTGCAATTTGGGAACCATATTCTTAAGTGAATGTGATGTGTCAAGAGTTTAGCCATGATATTCTACATAAGTCATCTTCATGTTCCGTTTCGGTGTGTCTTCTCGAAGTGTTAAAAAAAAATGCAGGTGGTGCTTTATCGTAGTGGCAGAAAGCAATCATGCCTATGCACCTGGTTCGGGTTTGATGCCAACCAATCCTCATCCCCCTAACGACTAACATCGTTTTGTTGTGAACTGAAAATACCCTTGATTCAAAATGGAGGATTAAATGTTGTTGTACTTTGGAGGAATTGGTTGTGTCTCTATGGTATTCGAAGTGCAACGAGTAGTTGTTTCAACTTATTGGTGTCCAAACAAAATACGATTAGCAGTCATTGCTTAAGTAATTGTGGTTAATCCAAAAAAAGAACAGAAAAGGAAATCGTTCCTTAGAAATTTTATTGAGTCATATTTGTATATTTCCTTTTGTTAACTGGATACTTTGTTTTTGACCGCTTGACAGCCAGCAACTGGAACTCCTATGGTTGGGAAAGATGTTGTGATCTGCAAGTATCCTTCAGATCCATCAGTTGTCCTTGGGTATCTGTCTTTTGCTTTCCTCCTGGTATCTACAGTTGCTGGGTTCTTGTCATTGTTTTACCCATACAAAGGGAAGTCCATTCCACAAGCTGCGTTGTTCCGAAGCACTAGTTTCGTCATATTCCTCAACATTTCTCTGTGAGTGTTCTTTCTGTATGTCGCATTTGTGCATATATCTATATTAGATTTTGAACTCTGACCAGTTCTAGCGTTATGATGCTGATGAGTCATCATAGTTTTCGTTGCCTATATGAAATTATTGTTCATCTAGAATTTCTGGATCTGTTAGCTTTATGTGACGTAGAATGCATCTTATGCTTTAGAGTAGCTATCCAATTTAAATATCGTTAACGCCACCAAACTGTGGCCATAAAAGGCTGCTCTACCCTCTTGTCTAATTGTGTTGCTTTGGTGGTGGTGCGATTACACAGGCTTACAGCAGGACTAGCTGCAGCTCTGTTGCTATGGCCTACAGTAACCGAGCAACTTCATCACTCAAGAAAGGTTCATCGCAATCTCCAAACAAAATGCCCAACTGCTAAGACCGGTCTTCTTGGTGGTGGTGCTTTTGTGTCCCTTGACGCATCGCTCTTTTGGTTGGTTGCCCTGATGTTAGCTGACAATGCCCGAGAGGACTATTTTGAGGAGACTGAAAAGGATGTCAAGGGTGAATATGGACAGGTTTCTGCAATCGATTTCGATGGACATGCCAATATTAAAGGAAGTGCTTGAAGTGTGCTAGCGTCGAAAGGACATGCCAATACTCTTCCGTTCATATCTATATTCATAAGCTCGCGTGTCGAGCAACTTTATGTAGTGAAAATGCATGTAGATACGATTCGAGATTGTTCGGTACATTCTCTTTGTGGTTGTGGATTTGGTAAAATGAAGCATGAAGAACTTTTTAATTCGACGTCATTAAAATTTTCCTCCAATTTTCTTTCCACTAGTTAGTAGTTGTTGCTTTTTGGTGAATGAATTTTAAATGGCTGGATACTTTATTGGTGTAGGGTTCTTTTCTAATTGCTTTTAAAATAACTCCATAATTTTGAAACCAAAGAGTTTTTTTGCAAGAAGTATATATCTGGTGTTCTTTCAAAAAGTATTTAAATGCTTTTTCAATAAAAAATCAATTTTGTCAAAAACATTTTCAATCATTTTGAAAGCACTTCCAAATGAGCAAATAATTTGATAATTAAGAAAACTAGCATAACGGTTTGCATCTTCTTCATTTTAATGGACCAGTTCACAACTTGGCTTACGACCAAATTTCGTTGAGAGAGTTTACACTATGTTTGGATGAAGAAATTTAAGATTATTAGGGAATTTTAAAATAACGGAAATTTAAATGATGAAATTTTATTCTATAGAATTTGTGAATTTTCTTGTTTGGGTAACCTAAAAGAACAATGGAATTGAATACGAAATTTGTTGTTTTTAAACTCAATAATAGAAATTGGAAAATGACACCTATTTACATGGAATTTAAACTTGGGAATTAGAGGTCTCAAATTCCAAGTTTTTTTTCCATGTGGGAATTCTAAATTTCTATGTTTATGAATCTAAACAAGGGAATTGATGCATGTCAATTTATAAATTCTGTCTTTAATCCAAATTCCAAGTTTATTTCTCTCATCCAAACTTAGTGTTAGGTTTTTCAAGATGCAATATATTTCCTAGTTTTGAGGTAATTGGAATAATTTATTTCTTATATCACATCTTCAAGATTATTCATGCAAAAAAATCAATCAAACTGGTAATTGGTATTCATTTGTATCGAACAAATTGACAATTTTGGTAGCTATTAGGATCTTCAAGATGAATCGCTCAGTTGTTTGATAAATATGGATAACCACACGATTTTCAATTAGATTAAATTTTGATAGTTTATCATATCAACGGTTCTGATTATGACATGCGTGCAATAAGAAATTGAACACGGAATTGGGTTTTGTTCAGTAGGGCTAGGCCATAACAACCCAGATTATCACTGGGCTTTTCATGCCACAAATCCAAATTCAATTTAACCCGTTACGGGTATCAAGTTATACCCGGTACCCAAAAACCCTAGTCCTAAAGTTCCGCAAACCCTATTTAGACGCAGCTCCATTTCCGTTGACATCAAATCAAATCCAAAACCCCACCAAAACCCTACACTCCTCCTTCTCACTCTCCTCCTCCTCCTCCTCCTCCTCCTTCTCCTCTGTCGGTGGAGCAAAATGCCGCTCGGCGAAAGAGCCGGAGACAAGAGCGAGTCTCGGTACTGCGGCGTGGAGACGGAGTTCAACGATGACATGCCCCACGTCCTCGCTTTCAATCTCTCGCATGGATCCTTCGATTTCGTCATTGCTCCTCTGGTCCGTACATTTCTTTTTCTTTTTTTTTTCCACCCAATTATTTTTCAAATTTCGTATTTCGATTGATTCTTCTGTTTATGTTGAGGAATGATTGGAAAAGTTGATTGGAATTCGTGTTTTGTAATGCTCGTATGGTAAAAATGGTGACCAATTAGCCAGTCACGTAATCGGCTTTTCAGCTGCTCTTTTGATGTGAATGGTCAGTAAGCTCACCGATAGCAATGCCGGGTTGGTGGCTGTTGCTCATGCGCCTGCTCGACCATGCAGCTTCACTCTACGGCCACCAACTACACTAGTGTCAAATTAGACTTAAAATTATTGGAAATGTCGATAATTCACTTGTCAATTGTTTGGTGGTATGACTTGCATAGTTGTTTATGTTGAGGAATGATCCAAATAGTCAATTGAAGCCTTTTTTTTGGTAATTCTTGTATGGTGGTTAATTAGCCAGTCACATAATCGGCTTTCAGCTGCTTTTTTGGTGTGAATGGTCAGTAAGCTCACCCATAGCAATTCCACGTTGGTGACTGCTGTTTGTGCAGCTCCTCAACATTAGAGCTTCAGTCTACAGCCACTAACTACATTAGTATCAATTTCCCAATTGAAATGATCGGAAATATTGACTATTTTATTGTCAATTATTTGTGGGTATGAATTTCTTAGTTAATGTTTCTGTGTTGTCTGACCGACTTGTTTTATTGGCGTTTGGGCAATTTCTTTGGAAATGGTGGCTAATTAGCCAGTCACATATAGCCAGAGATGGCTTCTGTTTTGTGTGAATGGTCAGTAAGCTCACCAAAAGTAAGGCTCTGTTGGTGGTCTTTAATGATGAACTGTAACCTCTGGTTTCATCTTTAGGCTATTAACTACATTGTTAAATTTGTGACACCTTCATATTTCTTATCTTTGGTGGCTATAAGGACTTTCCTTTGAGCTACAAAGGTCTTTATCTTATTGCTTGTTTGGTATTGAGTGTGATGTCAAATGCATTACATATTCATGTTGTGTTAATTTTCTGACTTCTGCTCGTTTGTACTGCTAAGTGTTTTGTATGTGCATGATCATTCTTTTCCCCTTTCGCTTTCTTTGATCCACAACTTGGACAAGGGGTAGTGATTCTTTTTCAATTTCATGATGTAGATGGATCCTGCTTATCGACCAAGTTTAATGCAAAAAGACAGTGGTGTATCTGGTGTTCCTCCATTTGCTGGCTCAGACTTGGTTTTGAGTCCTTCCCAATGGAGCAGTCATGTCGTGGGTATGTACTTCTCTAGACTTTTCTTGTGTTACATTGTGTTCTCTTGGTAATTTAATGGACTTTACTCAACTTATATTTTATGTTTCCTGTACTAAGATCTTGGCTGAAGAATACTAAATGTGATGGGATAAGCTTATGTTCTGTTTACTTTTCAACCACATATTTCCTTGTATCCTATGACTGCTCAAAGTGGTTTTTTTTTTTTTTTTTAAATTTATTCAGGAAAAGTTAGCTCATGGATTGACTTAGATTCAGAAGATGAGATCCTCCGGTGCGATTCAGAAACTACTTTGAAGCAAGAGATAGCATGGGCTTCTCATTTGTCCTTGCAGGTTGATAGCATTGAAATTTGTTTATTTATTTTATTGGAACTGCACTATTGTGAAATATTCGAATTGCTATCTCATAGGCCACATGCGAAGCTGAATAATTTTCTGTGTGCTTTGCTAATAATTGATTGTCGAAATTGGTTATTGGGTTTACTTTCTTGCTGGCCTTTAATTGTCATCCTTTGGTTGGTGCAGGCATGCCTTCTTCCAGTTCCAAAGGGTAAATCCTGTGCTAATTATGCTAGATGTGTAAATCAGATTTTACAGGGCCTAAGCAGTATGCAGGTACCATTGTTACCAAATCTGTTTACATATTTCGACCTCTGTGTAATCCACATTTGAAGCTCATTGGTTTTCCATTTGTTATGTTCTATTGTAGTTGTGGTTGCGGATTCCATTGGTCAAGTCAGACAGTGAAACCATGGATGTGAACACTGATACCTCGGTGAGTGATGTCCTTACTGAATAAGTTTTCAAAATAGGTTATCATTTTGATAATTATTTTTTCCTGCGTTTGGTGGAACCTTGTAGTTTCCAGTGACTGATTTTTCAACTTATGTCATGACTCTTGGCCAATATATATTGCAATATACATGGAATTTCAACCTCTGTTGCATATGGCTCTTGTTGACCCTCCAAAATGACAACTCTTGTGCTAAATCTACTTTAAGCATGACGAGTTGGAATGTATAGTACTCGGTCTTCTTTTGTAGTCTGTGTATTGGCTTTCTTGTTAGATGTCTTATACCAAAGAGGTCAGGTGTGGAGAGTTGCCTCTTTTTTATTGTGCATTGAGTAGGTTAGTCATAGGTGGCTTAAACTTTCTGCATGAATGTGGCCTTCTTTATGTGAGTAAAATAATGACAAGTTGACATACCAGATGATAAAGCTCATTTTTCTCAACTTTTTTTGCCTTGCAGGATGATTCTTGGGAGATTTGGAATTCATTTCGTCTGCTATGTGAACATCACAGTCAGTTATCAGTTGCTCTTGATGTTTTGTAAGTGTAACAATGACCATTCTCTTAGAACTTGGTTAATTTGTGTTTATTCGTTTTCATTGTGCCTGAACTAACTTTCACCTTTTTTTTATCTGAACAACTTTCATCTTATTTTAATCTGAACAACTGTCATTTTTCCTCAGGAGTTCTCTACCTTCTGTAAACTCTCTTGGACGCTGGTTTGGGGAATCTATTAGAGCAGCCATATTCAGTACTGAGGTATTATATGATAGTCAGTGTATTGGGGAAAGTTGATTACTTGTTGGTTCAATTGTTGCGTAATTTTCTAATAGTAGTCTTGTTCATTGCCAGTGCTTTCTAACAAATGCCCGAGGCTATCCATGTCTGTCAAAGCGCCACCAAAAGCTTGTTCATGGGTTTTTCAATCATTCTATACAGGTATTTATGAAGCTGTTATCAATGGTATTTCTATGTTCCGTTGGAGTTTGTTCTCCATTTCTGTGCATTGCAGCATAAACAACCCATGGTTAAACATTTTTTTTTATAGTTTACCTTCTTTTCAAATTGTTTCTTTGGTTATTTCTCAGAAGTTACTATATCAAATAAGTTCTGATTTAAATATGATTTTGTAGTTGCAAAAATTCTTCATAGACATCATTAGTTTTAGATCTTATGGTCACCTTCATGCAATATTTGCTAATCTTTGTCATCATGGAAAATTTAATTGCAGATAGTTCTATCAGGAGAACTGGTGCATAGTCTTCCCAAGATAAATTCACATATAGCTGCCAATGATAATGATAATAATGTTGATGGTAAGACCTACCTTCTGTTTTACAAGTGCATTGTCTTGAATCATTGGAACTTGTGAGGTAATTGAACTATTTGAGGCAGAAAAGCTAAGCCAATATATGTAACTTTTTCAAGAGCTTCAAATTGTCTTTTAAAGTGCTACTTTTATTTCCTAAATGAGTTTTGTTCGATTTTGAACCTTAGGATTCATATAGATCAGATACAAATACGAAGGGACAATGTAATGGGAAAACATTTATTTATTAATCTTGCTGATACAGAACAAATATCAAGAGGCAAGCTAGAAGATACTTAGACTAAGAAAACACTTTCAGTTAACAAAATGTATTTTCATAAAGGCATTACCCCGACCATATAATTGAAGTTCCTTATTTGCATTTGTTCTATTGTCTTATGTTATTCTTGACATCTAGGTGTCCAGAAACATCCGTTGAGACCGTATTTGGATTATGTTGGCTATCTTTACCAGAGGATGGATCCCCTTCCTGAGCAAGAACGGTTTGAGGTCCCTCTCCCTCTCTCTTTTCTTTCTCTGTGGGTGCGAATTTGGATTTTGGAATTTTTTTTTCCCAGCTATTAAATCTTTCTGACCATTTAAGTCTCGTATGGCAGATTGGTTACAGGGATTACTTGCAGTCACCCTTACAGGTACGGTATATTTCCCAAGTGCTCTCTTGTATTATTATCTTTTTGTTAGTACATGCCTTAATCGCTCTTTTCCTTTTTGTTGAAATAAAAAATCCTACATGTCATTTTTACATGATGTGATTTTCCATCCTCTTGTAATGCCAATCCAAGTTAGGCTAACTCTGCTACTCTAATGCAGCCGCTCATGGATAATCTAGAGGCTCAAACCTATGAGACATTTGAGAAGGACACGATGAAATATATCCAGGTATGCGTGCATTTGCAAATAACTTCATAAATAGTCTTTTCAGATATTTTTACATTGTTATTTTCCAATATGCAAGTTGCACGTCAACAGTATAATTAAGTTAAATCATAATCATTTTTAAATACATCAACGAAACATTGGACTTTCTTTGTGTATGTTTTACCTTTTTCTTTTTCTTCTTGTTGGAGGGACTGGGTTCTGATGAAAAGGAAGACATAGTAATGCGCATTACTCTAGTTTTTCTATGGGGTCATATAATTGCTAGAGGCTGTGGTTTTTATATTGCTTTCAATTGTATTAATTTGTTTTTATCTTTGTTAGTACCAAAGAGCAATTTGTAAAGCTTTACAGGACAGGGTTCCAGATGACAAGGCATCTTCAATAACTACCGTAAGCTGCCCACTTGTCACTTTGCTTTCCTGATTTTCTCATGAATGGTGTTTTATTAAGTTTGATGACAAAAGAACCTGACATTGCATATGTGATATTTGCATTTGTGTCAAGGTATTGATGGTTGTAGGAGCAGGACGTGGACCTCTTGTAAGGGCATCATTGCAGGTGCCTTCTCTTCCTTCTGCATACTTCTTTTTGGACTATGTTGTTTATCTTCAGGCTTGATATTACATGTAGCAGATCATATTGATGTGGATCCCATTCCTCTTGTTCATCTGTAGGCAGCTGAAGAAACTGGGCGCAAGCTTAAAGTCTACGCTGTTGAAAAAAATCCAAATGCAGTTGTTACACTTCATGTGAGTTGCAAATTCTCTCTTTATCTTGTTTTTTTCTAAAGTTGTAAAATTAATGTTTCTAGGACGTGCAAGCCATCACACTGTACATTAACACACAAAAAATGTTATTTGCGGGTATTTGTTTGAAGCAGACTTTCCTTGTTTTTTCATGTCCACTTTTTTTGTTTTGACGTGTCTGTTTGTTGGAGCAGAGCTTGGTTAAACTGGAGGGGTGGGAAAACATTGTTACCATAATTTCATGTGATATGCGTTACTGGGATGCTCCGGAGAAAGCTGACATTTTGGTATGCAAGTAATCTTATGAATAATCATATTTTTGTTTCTGGGTTTCCTTAATAATATTGCCTTTGATTGTGTAATAGGTTAGTGAATTGTTGGGTTCTTTTGGCGATAACGAGCTGTCTCCTGAGTGCCTTGATGGAGCTCAGAGACTTTTGAAGGATGATGGAATCTCAATACCTTCATCGTATGTATACTTTCTTTATTTTGTTTTTTTTTTTTTTGTTTTTTTTGTTTTTCCTTATCAATGTTGCTTCCCTGTTATGATCTGTCCAAAAGTCAGTATTGACATTGGGATATCTTGTCGTGAATCTTGATAGTGTCCAGAGTTCTTGGTGACTAAATGTTCAACATCAATACATCATTTTGAAAGCTATTTTTGGAGTTTTCTCCATTAGTGTGTATAAAAAGCCTTTGCGTCTCTTTTCAGGTACACGAGTTTTATCCAACCGGTGACTGCTTCAAAGCTTTACAATGATGTATGCCCGTGTCTTTGTGCCCAAAAATGTTCAATTCTATGTGTTTGAGGATTCCTTTGTAAATTATTGCTTTTATTTTTCAGGTTAAGTCACATAAAGATATTGCACACTTCGAAACTGCTTATGTTGTTAAATTGCACAACATTGCAAGACTTGCTCCTCCTCAACCTGTGAGTTTTCTCACTGGACTGATTTAATAATAATTATATGAACTTGATTGTATAGGGAGTCATTATTCAGCAATCATTTAGTCACGAACACTGGATTTTTTTTTAGGTGTTCACGTTTGATCATCCAAACAACTCAACTGACAAAAGCAATAACCGGTACACAAAGTTGCAGTTTGGAATAACAAGTGATACTGGCTCAGCCATGATTCACGGTATGTGGTGGCATAGTTTTTGTTAAGGTGAATAATATTCATAATATTTGTTTAGGTGAATAATATTCTTGAAAGAAAGTCAATGTGTTGCATTTTGTTAACATGACTAAATTCTACTTTGATTGTACTGTTGATTCATTGGGCCTATTTTTCAGGTCACTAAAATTACTCTTTTCTACACCTTCAGGATTCGCTGGGTATTTTGATTCAACACTATACAAAGAAGTTCATCTTGGCATTGAACCGTCAACATCAACACCAAACATGTTTAGCTGGTATGTAGTCCGTCCTATCCTTTTTCTTGTTTGGTTGCTGCTTGTCATCATTGTGCTTGCTTTTCTTTGCGATTGTTAGTACTCGAAGAAAATATTCAATTTCCTCCCCTAGTTCTGTTCTTTTTTCATGGTTATGCAAATAACTGGTAAACACATGATGGCTAAAACTTATGCGGTAGTTATATGGCTTACATGCTGTTTATCTTTACCCTCAGGTTCCCAATATTTTTCCCTCTAAGGACACCAATTACGCTTAGTCCTGGCGCTTCTCTTGAAGTACATTTTTGGCGGTGTTGTAGTCCTACCAAGGTAATATTCTTTCTTATTTACAAGGAATGCAGAAAAAATGGGGTCACGCACACAAAAAGTAAAAACTAACCTCAGTTAAAAAGACGATCCTGTTTTTTGTCTACAAGGATTTGAGGCCATTGTCCGTAGGCATAATATTGAGCAGAAGAATAGGGTGCTTCTGCATCTCTCTTGTTTTATGGTTTTAGATGAACAATAAGCCTCTGAATGAGTTCCAATGGAATGGTGATGCAGGTTTGGTACGAGTGGTGTGTGGCATCACCCTCCAGTTCACCGATTCACAACACCAACGGGCGTTCGTACTGGGTCGGGCTCTAGTAGCCCCGCGATTTTGTTTATTACAGACTAGGCGAACGCTAATATTATTCCGTGCGTAATACGTGTTCAGTGGTTGGTCTGCCCTACAACTTTCGACATCTATGCCAATTGAACTACGTTAGCGGTGTGAACTAGTTTTGGTGCCCCCGCCCACAGGGGGAGCAAACATTTCGCCTGAGTTCCTTTGTATTCAGAATATGTATAAGCCATTAGCAATGTATACCAACTGTTAAGATTGGATTTTTTGTTGTTTTTCAGAAAGTAGCATCTGACGGAAAATACTCAAAGATTTTTTCAAGGCAATTTTTCAAATACATACTTTTTATTATTTTTAATAATATAATAAAATATTAAGTAAAGTGAGTAGAGTAAACCCTATTTAACAGGCAAAGCAAAGATGGTCTTTACCAATTTAAAAATCCGAATGTGACGGTCATGCTATGATCGGAACCGGTGACAGATGTCCCGACGCACCCCGTGAATCGAGAATCCATGGCCTCTGTGACTGGCATAGAGGGCCAGGCATGGGCACGTTGCACATAAAGCTTTGAAATATTGCTAACAAGAGCTAAAATCCTTTTGTAACTGCAAATTATTCAAACACTGAATTTTACAAGGGAATTGTTATTAGCACTTCAAAAATCTCATTCTACATTCCTCATAAGTGCATTTTGCTTTCTAATTATAGAAAGTTTGAAGTGCTAATAATAATTCTCTTTTATGCTGTTAAAGAGAATACAGGTTCCTTTACAAATACAACTCAAGAATAAGCTGGAATTCGGAGTTTTGACACTGGCTTTTGACTCAAGCACAACGACTTTAACGACTCCTGCAATCCAGAAAAGACACCCTGTAAGAAAATCACCCAACACAACTCACCAAGTTAAATGAACAAAAAAACACTTTGCAACGAAACCCATTTTACTCAGTCGTCAGAAGATTATAAGGTGGTCAGGGGAAACCCAGTCGACGAAGCAATGCAATACAAAGAATACCCTAAACTTATATGCGGTTAAAGAATTGTGTGACATTTAGAAAGTCATGGTTGTGGCTATTTTGGAGTGTAGCTGATAAGTCAGTAATGTGGCTGACCTGTATTGGCAAAATTCACCAGACCAATGTATAGGGTGGGTCGGAAACTGTGTTCGGGTAAGGAACTTCAAAGTATGAAGATATCGCCAAGTGATGTTATTTTAAATAGGAGTATTATACAGTTATTTGTTTGGGCAACCTGCTCACTAATCTGCAACTAATCATGGATTTGCAAGTTTAATTTCAAAGTTCACATCAAACCCTAACTGGCTTAAAAATTATAACAGCCATTGGTAAACACATACCAGAAAACAACAAAATTCAAATGTGAAATATAATTTCCAGTTCCACTGAGACTTATAATTATCTAACTTTCTCAGCAACAAAACAACTTGCTCCCTCTTAAACAGGGAACAATATTCGTTGTTAAAAAACAAAACTAGGAGATTGCAAGCGATGGAAGCACTAGGCAAGCAAAAGAAACACAATGTAGGTAGTGAAACAAAGTGATGCTGGGAAAGGTTGACCACATCCACTAATGAACCAGAGAGCAAAGAGACGTTGACATTCGATTTAGAACCAGAACAAGAAGTGGCAAGGAAGAAAGGAAGATAGAACAGGGAATTTGCTTCAATGAAGGAAACAAGACTATCTGACAATACAACAACAACAACAAAGCCTTTTCCCACTAAGTGGGGTCGGCTATAAGACTATCTGACAATAAAGAGCAAAAATGCTTTTATGAATGTACATAAAGAAGATAGATACCGAATTATACAAAATTCGGGATCTGTTCTTGCCAGAAAATCATATTATCTTAGAATAAAAATTACCGCTTTCAAGTACTTCAAGTTTCAATACAAATGTTAATTCGAAACGAAGAGCTTTCCCTAATTGCTATACCTCAAAAAATGACATATAATGTAAGACTCCTGCAATCCATGTTGAAAAACCCGCACACTAGACCTTGTTCTTTAATGTAACCAACGACAATAGACTAAACTAGCAAATATTAGAAAACTTAGAAACACACAAGAATTATACTGGTTCGGCAGAACTCATGCCTACGTCCAGTTGTGATTTCTCTAGGCAGAGAAATCACCGCTCCTTTGATTAATAATAGAGATTGCAGAACTTTTGCAAACCCTAGAACTAATCTCAAAACTCTTGGCTGTCTGGCTGTTTTTTCTCTCTTAAAAATCAGCCTTGCCGCACCCTATTTATAGACATAGGGTTGGCTTACATGTCCCAAGGCTGATTGAATTCCTATTTCTAAGTGGACTAGGAAATTACACTATCCAAATCCAAATAGATTTGTAGAAATCCAAACCTAAATTGAATAAGGAAACTGAAATTCTTTCCTAATCCCTCTAGGACAAGAATCAGTATACCTCTAGGTTTCCTAAAACAATCCTAAACCAACTAGGACATATTTGACGAGCCAAAATCCTAACAATCTCCACCTTGGTCAGTCAAACCAAGTCTTGATCGATGCACCCCAGAGTATCTTTGAACCTTCTTGAAGCAGCTCTGGAAATCTTCAAGAGTCTTCACCTTGGCAATCTTCTTCTTGCCTCATTGCACCTCAAGTGAGGAGGTGCTCCACTTTAATCAATCAACGAGATTGATCAAGTTCAAGCAATGCTTGAACTTCTTGGCCGACACTATCTTTGTAAGGAAATCTGCGGCATTGTCATCCGTATGAATCTTTTCAATACAAATTTCCTACCCAATCTCTGATTTTGTGATACCTCGCTTCAATGTGCTTTGATCTTCCAAAAAAAACCTAATTCTTTGCCAAGTGAATGGCACTTTGACTATCACACTTCAGCTTCACACAATCTTGAGTGATTCCCATTTGACTTACCAAGCCACTAAGCCAAATCGCTTCCTTTCCAGCTTCGGCCAAGGCAATATACTCTGCCTCTGTGGTCGACAAAGCTGTAATTGGTTGCAGTAGTGCCCTCCAATTGATTGGTCATCCTGTGCATGTAAACACATAACCAGAAGTTGACCTTCTCTTGTCTAAGTCCCCTGCATCCACATATCCTAACACCCCTGCATTTTCTTTTTGCCTCTCAAACATAATCCTTTGTCGCCAAGAACCCTTCAAATAACGCAAAATCCACTTGACTGCATCCCAATGTTGCTTTCCTGGATTTGCCATGTATCTGGAAACGACACTGATTGCTTAAGCTATGTCGGGACGTGTGCATACCATTGCATACATGAGGCAGCCCACTGCATTAGCATAAGGCACATTCTTCATTACTTGTTGCTCTTCCTCGGACGTAGGACACTGTTGCCCACTTAACCTGAAGTGAGCCGCCAAAGGAGTCGAAACTACCTTTGCTTCTTGCATGTTGAACTTCTCAAGAACCTTCTGAATATACTTGGCTTGTGATATCTAGATCCTTCCAGCGGTCCTATCTCTCTGAATTTCCATGCCAAGGATCTTCTGTGCAACACCTAGATCCTTCATATCAAACTCCTTGCTTAACATCTTTTTCAAGTCTTGAATTCTAGACTTGTCTTGACAAACAATTAGCATGTCATCCTCATATAGCAATAGCAATATGATCATTCCATCTTGGAACACATGATAATACACGCAACAATCATATAAACATCTTCTAAAATTGATTTTCAGCATGAATGAATCAAACCTCTTGTACCATTGTCTTGGAGACTGTTTCAGGCCATACAGGGACTTCCTTAGCTGACATACTAGGTTCTCTTTCCCATATTCAACAAGCCCTTATGGTTGAGCCATGAAAATCGTTTCCTCTATTTCTCCATGAAGAAACGTTGTCTTCACATCCATTTGCTCAATCTCCATGTCATGCTGAGCTGCCATAGCTAAGAGTAATCTGATAGAAGTATGCTTGACTACAGGTGAAAATATCTCATCATAATCCACCCCTTCCTTCTATGAGTACCCCTTAGCCACGAGCCTTGCTTTGAATCTCACGGCATCTTGTTCATGTAGTCCTTCCTTTTTCCTAAATACCCACTTGCATCCAACCAACTAGCTTTTTGTCTTTGGGCTTAGGAACCAACTCCCAAACAGAGTTCTTGTAAAGAGACTCCATTTCTTCTGTCATAGCACTTATCCAACTATCTCGCTCATCACTAGCTATAGCTTCTCGATAAGTAGTCGGATCTCCTTGACTAATGTTAAGAGCATAATTAACTTCGTCTTAGTCAAACCCAAATATGTCGGGTTTCTTCTTGTTCCGCTTAGGTTTGTCCAATGCTATGCATCTCTGGAATGCAGGTGGATTGTTGGTTGGAGTTTGACCCCTTTGGGATGTCTAGCGGATTGGAATGCCTTCAATTTGTCCTGTTTCTTGCTCCACCTGATTCCTAACTGGTGAACGATGTTGATGCTCTTCTTCTTCCTCAAAACCATCAGATTTGGCCTCTTGCTCGATTTGCTCCACCTGAGCTTCTTCTTCATCTGAACTGATTAATGGAATCTTTGTTGCTTCAATTTCAGCATCGTCCGTCTTCTCCCTACTGCTCTCGACTATATTAAGAGGCATGGTTGTCTCATCAAAGACAATATCTCGACTGACAACCTTTTTCCTGTTGTTGAAATCTCAAAGCTTGAAACCCTTAACTCCTTTCTCAAAACCTAAGAATATGCAATGTGTAGACTTCGGTTTGAGCTTGGACCTTTCATCACTTGGAATATGTGCATAAGCACCACAGCCGAACACCCTGATCTTGGAATAGTCCTCCGGCTTCTCAGACCATACCTCTTCTACACTCTTAAAACCGAGAACTGTAGATGGCGACCTATTAATCAAATAACTTGCATGATTAACAATCTCTGCCCAAAAACTATCAGGCAATCCTGCATGAAATCGCATGCTCCTCTCTCCATGAGAGTTCGGTTCATCCTCTCAGCAGCTCCATTTTGTTGGGGATTCTTCTTTACTGTGAAGTGCCTGATGATGCCTTCCTGCTTGCAATAATCGGTGAACTCATTACTTGTACATTCACCTCCATTGTCACTTCTCAGGTACTTGATCTTTCTTCCAGTTTGATTCTTGGTTTCTGTTTTCCATTCCTTGAGCTGCAAAAACCTCGGATTTTTGCTTCATGAAATAAACCCAAACCTTCCTAAAAAAATCATCCATGAAAGTAACAAAATACCTGGCTCCACCATTTGATTTAGTTGGTGCAGGGCCCCAAACATCTGAGTGAATATAGCTGAGTTGCTCCTTGCTTCGGTTATCTACACTGCTACTTGCGAATGATACCTTTCTTTGCTTTCCGAGAACACAATATTCACAAAAGTCCAGTTTGCAAGATGACACGCCTTCCAACAGTCCTTGCTTGTGTAGTTCTTGCAGCCCTTTCTGGCTTATGTGCCCAAGCCTATGATGCCAGAGTTCAATCTTGTCTTCTACACTCTGATTTACAAAAACAACTGCTCCCCCAACTATAGTGGTCCCAATTAACTTATACAACTTATTGGGTTGTAGGTCACCCCGCATTACCACTAGCGATCCTTTGGTTACCCTGAGTTTTCCTTTTTTAGACTTGTACCCATAACCGGCCTCATCTAAAGTACCCAAGGAAATCAAATTCTTTCTTAGTCTAGGGACATACCTGACATTCCCCAAAGCTCGTATCATCCCATTGAACATTCTGATTCGAACAGTGCCGATTCCTCTTACAAGACATGAAGAATCATCCCCCATTAAGACTTCCCCGTTGCTGACTTCTTTGTAAGTATCAAACCATTCCCTTACTGCACACATGAAAAGTGCATCCGGTATCCAAAATCCAATTGGTGGAAGCCTTGGAGCCTGATGTTACTGAAAGAAGCTCCCCGTCACTCTCATGCTCGGTGACTGCACTAGCTGAACCTGAGCTTCCTTCCATCTTGGCTTTCTTCTCTTTCCAAATCTTGCAGTTCCTTTTCCAATGATCGGCTAAACCACATTCAAAGCAACCTTCCTTCTTTTCCTTTTTCTTCTTGGATTTTGACCTACCTCTATTGCCGATTTTCTCTTCCTTTGTCTTTTCCCGTCCCCTCTCCTTGCCTTTGGCATAAAGGCCTAGAGAGCTTTCAGTTATATCATCCAGTTTAGCATATGACTAAAGAGCTTGAATTACATCTTCAAGCTTCAGGGACTCTTTTCCAAACATTAGAGTTCTTCGAAAGTGCTTGAAAGACGAAGGTAGAGACCTCAACAAGATGATAGCCATATCATCATCTTTGTAAGTTTCTTCAACCTTCTGAAGATTAGCTATGCAATTCTGGAACCTGCATACATGATCTTCAATATCACCTCCTTCTAGTCGAAGCCTGAATAGTTGAAAAACCCGCACACTAGACCTTGTTCTTTAATGTAACCAACGACAATAGACTAAACTAGCAAATATTAGAAAACTTAGAAACACACAAGAATTATACTGGTTCGGCAGAACTTATGCCTACGTCCAGTTGTAATTTCTCTAGGCAGAGAAATCACCGCTCCTTTGATTAATAATAGAGATTACAGAACTTTTGCAAACCCTAGAACTAATCTCAAAACTCTTGAATGTCTGGCTGTTTTCTTTCTCTCTTAAAAATCAGCCTTGCCGCACCCTATTTATAGACATAGGGTTGGCTTACATGTCCCAAGGCTAATTGAATTCCTATTTCTAAGTGGACTAGGAAATTACACTATCCAAATCCAAATAGACTTGTAGAAATCCAAACCTAAATTGAATAAGGAAACTGAAATTCTTTCCTAATCCCTCTAGGACAAGAATCAGTATACCTCTAGGTTTCCTAAAACAATCCTAAACAAACTAGGACATATTTGATGAGCCAAAATCCTAACAATCCAAACCGGAACAAGATGCCATCAAATACACAAATCACCAAGATTGAAAAATGAAAATCTTCCCCAACAAATTCAACCAAGTTGAATGAACAAGAACACTTTCCAACGAAACCCATTTCCTCAAAACTTAGTTCACAGAAAACTATACAGAGATCTGAGACAAGCGAGTCAACAAATAATGTCACTACTCCTGCAATCCATACCAGAACCAGGACAGAAACTATCGAACACAAAAACCACCAAGACTGAAAAAGGAAACAAATCACACACACACAAAGACAGGACCAAAGAACAAAACCAGAAAACCTTAAAACTTTCTAAGCACAGACCAGAAAAACAAAATTAAAGAACAAAATAACAACAAAATCCAAATAAGCTCAGTTATGCGATAAAACTCATAATCACTACACAAAAAGTCCTAAATTTGCTAAGCAAAGTGCAATCAAAACACAGAATCAAAGTAGAAAATCAAAACACGAAACCGAAAACACAGAACCAAAGCACAAAAATAAAACATGTTAAGCACAAATTATTAGAAAACGAAAGAGAGGATGTACCGATAAACAAATGTTGCCTAATTTCCTCCAGCACAGGCGAAGCACCTAACAACCAAACACATACAATTAGGTCATAAATCGATATTATCGCATAGATAGTTAAGTAGAAGCTCTCAGAGAGTTTAATTAATTTTTACTTCAATCGACAGAAATTGGAGATCAATACTGGGTCACCCCTCAGTTTCCCTTCCTCTAGCCGGAATATCACCTTCCCGTTCTCAGCAAAATAGTTAGCCGGAAGGATCAGTATCTTCGGTTCACTGCCGGGAAGCACGGCGGTGACATGAATGCTCCGATGAATACGAGAACGTAAGCTTCGGTTTATGAACTTGCTGCCCTTGATCTCTCTGCTCTCCCCAGGTCCGAGCCTAACAATCCGTCTGCCCCACCCATCGCTCTCCACCTCCGTTATCTCAAGAACCACACCCGGACTCGTCTCGTTCACGAGCTTCACCGATCGACTGAGAACGCCACCCATTGATACCAGAAGCCACCGCCAAAAGGATTTTCATATCGCAGGCACTCACTTTATAGGATTACTCCCCACGCGTTTTTTAGCTGGGCACGTCTCTACCCGCAGCTAAGAATCTCACTGAATATCGTATATGCGGAAGAAGAACGCAATTATTCCCATTACTAAAAGAATCAACCCAGAAAACCTTAAACTAAGAAGAAAAAAATTAGATAAAGATAGCCTAAGTCATTTATCCTAGTATTTCAAGTGAAATTAGAAATTATTTTAATTATTTTATTTAAAATTAAACATAATAATACATGATAAAAATTAATCACACAATATACGTTTAGAAATATGTCATTTGGATCCCGATGGATCCTTCCTCATCAACTTTTCTTAATATTTATAACAAAAAGTTGGTATATAAAAAATTGCCTAAAAAATATCTTTGACTCATCTCTTAAAAAGACCATTTTTGATCATTCCCAATAAACTATAAAGAATATAACGACTGCTAGATCCTCTTTTCATCTTCTAATCAAGTGACTTCATACCACATTTTTACTTTTCATATATTTAGATCAATTTTTGTTTATTAAATTTTAATTTATTTGATCTAGCTGTTAAAAATTAAGACAGATATGACAAGTAAAAGAATAACATCACCCTTTCAGTATTTCCCATCACATGCTACTTTAAACGAAATGTGTTGAAAATATTTTCTTTATGTAATGGAGCACGGCACAAGGGTTGTCGTTTTCAACAAAATGCCCAACAGCTAAGACCGGTCGCCTTGGTGGTGGTGCTTTCGTGTCCCTTGACGCATCGCTCTTTCGGTTGGTTGCCCTGATGTTCGCCGACAATGCCCGAGAGGACTATTTTGAGGAGACTGAAAAGGATGCCAAGGGTGTGAATATGGACAGGTTTCTGCAATCGATTTCGATGGACATGCCAATATTAAAGGAGGTGCTTCAAGTGTGCTAACGTCGAAAGGAGCCGCTGGGAAGTCTGTTACATACGGACTCTTCCGTTCATATCTATATTCATAAGCTCGCGTGTCGTTGTCGAGCAACTTTTTGTAAGTGAAAAAGCATGCAGATACGATTCGGATTGTTCGGTACATTCTCCTTGTGGTTGTGGATTTGGTAAAATGAAGCATGATCAACTTTTTAATTCGACGTCTTTAAAATTTTCATCCAATTTTCTTTCCATCAGTTAGTAGTTGCTCTTTGGTGAATGAATTTTTAATGGCTGGATACTTTATTGGCATATGACTCGTTTGTAATTGTTTTTAAAATGATTATATTTAAAAAGACGGTAAGCAATATTGGTGAAAATAGTTTTGAAACCAAATATTTTCTTGCAAGAAGTATATATCTAGTGTTTTTTAAAAAAGTATTTAAATTCTTTTCTAATAAAAAATCAATTTCGTCAAAAACGCTTTCAGTTATTTTAAAAGCACTTCCAAACGAGCTAATAATTTGGTAATTAAGAAAACAAGCATAACTGTTTTCATCTTCATTTTAATGGACTAGTTCACAACTTGGCTTACTACCAAATTTCGTTGGCAGAGTTTAGGTTTTTCAAGATGCAATATATTTCTTAGTTTTGAGTTAACTGGAATCATTTATTTCTTATATCACATCTTAAAGATTTTTGGTGCAAAAAAATCAATCAAATTGGTAATTGGTATTCATTTGTATCGAACAAATTGACAATTTTGGTAACTATTAGGATCTTCAAGATGAATCACTCAGTTGTTTGATAAATATGGATAACCAAATGATTTTCAATTAGATTAAATTTTGATCGTTTAGTAATCATATCAACGGTTTTGATTATGACATGCGTGCAATAAGAAATCGAACATAGAATTGGGCTTTTGTTCAGTACGGCTGGGCAATAACAACCCAGATTATCACTGGGCTTCTCATGCCACAAATCCAAATTCAATTTAACCCGTTACGGGTATAAAGTTCCGCAAAACCTATTTAGACGCAGCTCCAGTTCAAATCATATCAAATCAAAAACCCCACCAAAACCCTACACTCCTCCTTCTCGCTCTCCTCCTCCTCTGTCGGTGGAGCAAAATGCCGCTCGGCGAAAGAGCCGGAGACAAGAGCAAGTCTCGGTACTGCGGCTTGGAGATGGAGTTCAACAATGACATGCCCCACGTCCTCGCTTTCAATCTCTCGCATGGCTCCTTCGATTTCGCCATTGCTCCTCTGGTCCGTACATTTTTTTTTTCACCCAATTATTTTTCGAATTTCGTATTTCAATTGATTCTTCTGTTTATGCTGAGGAATGATTGGAAAAGTTGATTGGAATTTGTGTTTTGTAATGCTCGTATGGTAAATGGTGGCCAAGTAGCCAGTCGCGTAATCGGCTTTTCAGCTGCTCTTTTGACGTGAATGGCCAATTAGCCTATCCTTTTTCTTGTTTGGTTGCTGCTTGTCATCATTGTGCTTGCTTTTCTTTGCGATTGTTCGTTCTCGAAGAAAACACATGATGGCTAAAACTTATGCGGTAGTTATATGGCATACATGCTGTTTATATTTACCCTCAGGTTCCCAGTATTTTTCCCACCAAGGACACCAATTACGCTTAGTCCTGTTTACAAGGAATGCAGAAAAAACGGGGTCACTCACAACAACAACAACAACAACAACAAAGCTTTTTCCCACTAAGTGGGGTCGCTCACACAAAAAGTAAAAACTAACCTCAGTTAAAAGACCATCCTGTTTTTTGTCTACAAGGATTTGAGGCCATTGTCCGTAGGCATAATTAGCCCCGCGATTTTGTTTATTACATACTAGGCGAACGCTAATATTATTCCATGCGTAATACGTGTTCAGTGGTTGGTCTGCTTAGGATGGGCAAAATACCCATGGGTATGGGTAACCACGATTAACCGTTCATTTAAAGTTGACGGTTATGGTTATGGGTAACTGTTTAGACCAATAAACGATTATGGGTATAACCGTTTATCCATGAAATTTAAATGGACGGTTATGGGTATATCCACAGTTATAACGGGTATCCATCGGTTATGGGTAATATTCGTGGTTATAACGGGTATCCATTTACCCATTTAATTTAATATATGTAAAATTAAAAAAAATATTAAAAACCCTTAGAGAGCTCACAACTCCGTCACTCTCTCTTCGTCGCTCTCTCTCTTCGCCTCTTGACTTCGACTCGACCACACCTCGGCGACCTCACTCAGACAACCTCACCACCCTCCTCGACCTCACCTCAGACAACCTCCTCACCTCAGAATCCGGCCACACCCACATCACACAGACCCTCTGATCTCTCTCTCTCGACTTCTCATCCCTCAGACCTTGACTGTGTGGAAAAGCCTTCTTTCACGGCACAGAGGTAGAGCTATGGCCACCGGCGCCGCTCACCTCTCTGATTTCTCTCCCTTGACTTCTTCATCCAGATTTCAGGGCACTGTACACCGATTATCCCCCAAATCAGGTAAATTTTGAAATTAATTTAGGGTTTGTGAAATTTAAATTAGGGTTTGTGAAATCTAGTCTTGATTAGGCATTGTTCTTGATTTTATTAAAAATGTTGGTTGATTTTTAGTTTAGATGTCTGAAGTAATTCAATTTCTGGGGAGATTTTTAGTTTAGCTGTACTCTCATCTTTGAAGTGTTAAACTCTGAACTAATTCAATTATTTGCATAATTTGCAATTTTGCATAATGGAATAGGAAAGTGTTGGTTGATTTTTACTCTAATCTCTGAGGTACTTCAATTTGCATAATGGAAAAGGAAAGTGTTAATCTTTGAAGTAATTCAATATTCCATTGATTATATATTGCTTGCATTCATCATTCCACCAAAATTGAATTGGAGGGGTCAATAGGGTTCATTCCACCGATTATAAATTTAGTAACTTGGTATTTGTAATTAATGTGGGCCTATTTTGTGAGATTAAACATTAACATTAGTAAGATTGTTGCATAAATCAAAGACGTGTGTAAAATATTCCACCTGTAATATAATTTGTGAATTGATTATCTGTATTTGTTTCAGCAGGAACTCTTTTCGTATGAATTATTTGAAGATCTTTAGATCTTCAAAAAGTCTTGTATCCAACTGTTTCAACTAGTTCCAAGATGAAGACTCAAAGAAAGAACCAAGATATTGAACCAATTAATCTTGATCAAGAATTGGACCTAAGTGAATCAAGCTTTGATGACACTGGTAGGAAGAGAAAAAGAACCTCAGTTGTCTGGCAGCATTTTGAGGAAAAAAGTTTTTGTGGGGAGGTGAAAGTTGTCTGTAACCATTGTAAAGCTAGGCTAGCATCAGGCTCCTGTTGGTACTTCATCTTTACTTTCACATGTTAGAACATGTCCTGTATTGACGACAAAGAAAAAGAGTCCAGTTATAACTGGTGATGGGTCTGTTAAACATGGTGCATATAGTTTTGATGAAGGTAATGCTAGGAAAAAGCTAGCTTATATGATTATCTTACATGAGTATCATTTATCTATGGTGGACCACTTGGAATTTTAAGTGGTTTTGCAATTCATTGCAACCCTTATTTAAGGTTATTTCTAGAAGTACTATCAAGAGGGATATTATGAAAGTATTTGAATGTGAAAAGGGAGAGACCATGAAGTTGTTGCAAATGAACAAGAGTAAAATTGCAATCACGGTTGACATGTGGACTTCAAGTAATCAGAAGAGAGGGTTTATGGCTATCACTTCTCATTTTATCGATGCTTCTTGGACGCTTCAAAGTCAAATTCTAAGGTAATTTATCGAACTAATACCATATCTTTCTCTCCTGGTGGGGTGGGGGGCTTTCTAGTTGTTGGAGCTTTCTAAGGTACTATTTAAACACTACAAATGGACTGCAAAGACACTAAATTAAGGACTTATAAGCAGTAGCTTATAAGAAGCAGTAGCTTATAAGGAAGAGATCTGGCTAGATCTTCACTTTTTGTTTCTTTTTTACATAATCTGGAATAACTCCGCCTATGTAAGTTTATCTTACATTGCCAGTCCCAAGCCCGGATAAAGGAGGAGGGGGAGGGCGTCAGGTAGTCGACAGCCGGCACTCCACAGTTACGTCGAATCCTTATGACAATGAATCCAGAATGAAATCGCGCTAAAGCTAGGACGTCACCCGTAAGTGACGCGCTGTGTGGCCCGAGCACAGTGATAAGTGAGCAAGGGTCGCTGTATCTCCATCGGCACCCGGATACAGTGTTAAATGAGCAAGGGGGCCATAGAAACTTCTTTTCGAATGACTCCACTCAAAGTTGTTTGGGAGCATATGCTCCTATCAACTTTACACAGGACACACAAAAGAAGTACTTTGATCCTATTAGACGGGGGATGGTGAAGAAGCTAGGACAGAAGGGTAGAGTTCAAGAGAGTAGAATGCGTTTAGGAACGTGGAATATAGGAACCTTAATGGGAAAATCTATGGAAGTAGTGGAAGTTATGGTGAGGAGAAGGATAAATATTATGTGCCTACAAGAAACTAAGTGGGTTGGTCTTAAGGCAAAAGATCTAGAAAACTTAGGGTTTAAGCTTTGGTATTCGGGCACAAATAGAATGAGAAACGGTGTTGGCATCATTGTGAACAAGACCTTGACACAAGATGTTGTAGATGTCAAGAGGGTAGGAGATAGAATCATGGCAATCAAGATTGTAATAGGACAAGAACTCATCAATGTGATTAGTGCGTACGCACCTCAAGTAGGGTTGGATACAAGTTCGAAGGAGAAATTTTGGGAAGACCTTAGAGACTTGGTGCAAGGAATTGCCCAGACGGAGAATTTATTTATAGGAGGAGATTTAAATAGACACGTGGGCAGGGAGACAGGCAACTATGGAGGTTTTCATGGTGGCCATGGTTTTGGGGAGAGAAATGAGGATGGGGAAGCTATCTTGGATTTTGCAATGGCATATGATCTCTTCTTAGCCAACATATTCTTTAAGAAGAGAGAAGAACATGTAATCACCTACAAGAGTGGGTCGTCAAAAACACAAATAGATTTTCTTCTAATGAGGAAAGGGGATCGTATAACTTGTAAGGATTGCAAAGTTATACCGGGGGAGAGCTTGGCTAATCAACATCGCTTGTTGGTGATGGATGTACATATCAAAAGAGTGAGAAAAAAGAACAAGACTTGGAAGTGCCCAAAGACTAGATGGTGGAATCTAAAAGGAGAAAAACAAGTCATTTTCAAAGAGCAAGTAATCACCCAGTGTGTGTGGGATAGAGAGGGGGAAGCTGGCCAAATGTGGGATTCCATGGCTAGCTGTATCCGACAAGTAGCAAAAGAGGTATTAGGAGAGTCCAAGGGCTTTGCTCCACACCAAAAGGAATCTTGGTGGTCGAATGAGGAGGTACAAACAAAGGTGAAGGCTAAGAAGGAATGTTGTAAAGCCTTATACAAGGATAGGACCGATGAAAATGGTGAAAGGTATAGAAGAACGAAGCAAGAGGCGAAGAAAGCTGTGAGAGAAGCTAAGTTAGCGGCTTATGACGATATGTATAAGCGACTAGATACCAAAGAATGAGAGTTGGATATCTATAAACTAGCTAGAGTAAGGGAAAAGAAGACAAGAGACCTAAACCAAGTGAGGTGCATCAAGGATGAGGATGGAAAGGTTCTTGCTACAGAGAACGTGGTCAAAGACAGATGGAAAGGTTATTTTCATAATCTTTTCAATGAGGGACATGAAATGAGTATTCCTTTAGGGGAGTTGAGTAACTCAGAAGAGTGTAGAAACTACTCCTTTTATCGTCGAATCAAGAAGGAAGAAGTGGTTGTAGCTTTGAAGAAGATGAAGCATAGAAAAGCAGTGGGCCCAGACGATATACCGATTGAAGTGTGGAAAGCCTTGGGAGAGACAGGTATGGCATGGCTCACTGACCTTTTCAATAGGATTTTGAAAACGAAGAAAATGGCAAACGAGTGGCGAAAGAGCACCTTGGTGCCTATTTACAAGAATAAGGGCGACGTACAAAATTGCATGAACTATAGGGGTATTAAGCTAATAAGTCATACAATGAAGCTCTAGGAGAGAGTCATTGAGCATAGATTGAGGCAAGAGACATGGGTTTTGGACAACCAATTCGGGTTCATGCCAGGGAGCTCAACCATGGAGGCAATCTATCTCTTACGAAGATTGATGGAAAGATATAGAGATGGGAAAAAGGATTTACACATGGTCTTTATAGATTTGGAAAAAGCGTATGATAGGGTCCCAAGAGACATTCTTTGGAGGATTTTAGAGAAGAAAGGAGTACGAGTAGCATATATCCAAGCTATAAAGGATATGTATGAAGGAGCAAAGACTGCCGTAAGAACTCATAAAGGACAAACCGAAAGCTTCCCCATAATTGTAGGATTACATCAAGGCTCATCCTTAAGTCCTTACCTTTTTGTGTTGGTAATGGATGAGTTAACAGGACATATTCAAGATGATATTCCTTGGTGTATGCTTTTCGCAGACGATATAGTGTTGATAGATGAAACTCAGGAAGGGGTAAATGCGAAGCTTAACCTTTGGAGAGAAGTGTTGGAATCTAAAGGTTTTCGCCTAAGCCGATCAAAGACAGAATATATGGAGTGCAAGTTCAGTGCAAATGGAAGCCAAAATGAGTTAGGGGTGAGGATCGGAGATCAGGAAATACCAAAGAGCGACTGTTTTCGCTACCTAGGATCTATCTTGCAAAAGAACGGAGAATTAGATGGAGATCTCAACCATAGAATATAAGCTGGATGGATGAAGTGGAAGAGTGCATCCGGCGTGTTGTGTGATCGTCGTATGCCACTGAAGCTTAAGGGAAAATTTTATAGGACGACAATAAGGCCGGCGATGCTGTATGGCATAGAATGTTGGGCGGTGAAGCACCAACACGTACACAAAATGGGTGTAGCGGAGATGAGGATGCTTCATTGGATGTGTGGGCACACGAGAAAGGATAAGATTAGGAATGAGGATATCCGAGGTAAAGTAGGAGTAGCCGAAATTGAAGGAAAACTGAGAGAAAATCGGTTACGGTGGTTTGGACATGTGTAAAGAAGGCCTACTGATGCTCTGGTTAGAAGATGCGACTACGGGACAGAGGTTCAGGGCCGAATGGGTAAAGGAAGACCTAGGAAAACTTTGGAAGAGACTCTAAGAAAAGACTTAGAGTACTTGGATCTAACGGAGGACATGACACAGGATCGAGCACAATGGCGTTCTAAGATTCATATAGCCGACCCGACTCAGTGACTTGGATTTTTCAAGTTTCCAATCGAGAAGTTTTCCCCACTCGGGAAATTAAGGGAACACTACCTCAACCTACATGCTCCACTCATAAAGCTTCAACATACAAGCTTCAACAAAAGAAAAATTCAAAGATTTAGTGAAGAATGCTTTGGTGTATTTAACACAATACGTTGAAATGAAACAAAGCTTATTTATTGATATCTCTAAGAAGTTACAAATATGTACATATACACGAGTCAAAATAAACAAACAAGAGGGAGCCTTCACAAAGGTTGCTTAGGAGAAGTCTCAGCAGTCGGCAGAGCCCCAGAAAGAGAAGGCACTGGAGGGGGATCATTCGGAGCCTCAGTACTGGACAACACCCTAGAAGGAGAAGGCATCGGAGGTTGATCATTTGGAGCTTCATTACGCGGTACAGCCCCAGAAGACGAAGGCAATAAATGCCTTTGGAACAAACCCACAAACCTCTGATGATCATATAAAATCTGACCATCAGATTCCTTCATCTGGTCAAGCTTCCTCTTCATGTTTGTAGCATAGTCATGAGCGAGCCGGTGCAACTGTTTATTCTCATGCTTGAGCCCTCTAATATCCTGTTGAGACTCATCACTTCAGCCGCCAATGATTCAACTTGGCGGGTTCGAGAAAATAGGCGTTGGGCCATATTAGACACAGAACCTGCACACTGAACACTGAGAGCCAGAGAATCCTTAACAGCCAACTCATCAGACCGTTTGGAAAGTAGTCTGTTATCTTTGGGAGTGAGAAGGTTCCTGGCCACCACCGCAGCGGTCATATCATTCTTCATCACGGAATCCCCAACGGTAAGAGGACTAGTAGAGGATACGAAGGATGGGCGCCATATGTTGTCTGGAGAAGGCGTGGCGGCCTCTTCAACAAGGTTCAAGTCAAAACGACGGTCGGAGGGGCCAAACATTTTCAAAGGTGTTAAAGAGAAAAGAAGTCAGACAAATCAAGATCTTAGAAATGCAAGAAGGGAGCTTCTACTAGTGGAGATTCAAGTGTGCTTTGGAACTTAATACCAGCCTTTATAAAAATCCGCACTCGATGGAGCTTCAGAAATCGAAGAGGCGTCTGCTCAGAAATCGAAAAGGCGTTTGCTTTCTCAAAAGCTGGGCTGCTCAGAGACCACGAGGGCCGATCTCAGGAATCGAAGAGGCGTTTGCTTTCTCAAAAGCTGGGCTGCTCAAAGACCACAAAGGTCGATCGCAGAAATCGAAGAAGCGCTTGCTTTCTCAAAAGCTGGGCTGCTCAGAGACCACGAGGGCCGATCTCAGAAATCAAAGAGACACCTGCTTTTTCAGTCTTGTCAGCACCTGTCACATGCACACTTAACTTTCTGGAAATTACGGGCATTCTGTCGAAGATTTCTAGTGAAGTAGAAAGCACGTGAATGTTACTATTCAATCATTCACTTTCCACACGCAACATCAGCTCACGGGTACCACAGATAACTTTGCCAAAAATCTCTGACAAAGTTTAGACACGTGAAGCTTGCAGCTCCCATTACATCGCTATGACCAAGAAGGGTAAAAGAATAGCAAAGAAACAGCACTAACAAAGTTTAGACACATAAATTTTGAAGGTCTAGCTACCATATTATTACCCACAAGGGTAAAGGAACAAGACCATTGCTGGATAATTGGAAAGTCCTTGTGGGTCAACCTCTGTGCTCCGTGGCAAGGTAGACTAGCAAACAGGCCTAACCTTTACTCACATTCGAGAAAACACTCCCAACAAGATTGCTTGCTCAAGATCGAAGAGGCACCGTCCTCCGAATCTCGAGAGCCAGACTCCCAACACGATTACTTTCTCAAAAAGCGACGAGACACCGCTCTCCGAATCTCGAGAGCCAGACTCCTAGCAGGATTGCTTTCTCAAAAATCGAAGAGACACCGTTCTCCGAATCTCGAGAGACAGATCCCCGACAGGATTGCTTGTTCGAAAACCGAAGAGGCACCGCTTTCTCAACTTCAAGAGCCCCTTAGATAAAGCTTGTCTGTAATCCTCACACCGCTTTCTCAACTTCGAGAGCCAGATCTCCTTGGATAAAGCTTGTCTGTAATCTTCACACGTAACATCAGCTTTCCAGATACCACAGACCACTTTTTCAAAGTGCTCTGACAGAGTTAAAACACGTGAAGCTGGCAGCTCCCACTACCGTGCTATGACCAAGCAAGGTAAAAGAATAGTATTACTCCTTGTTAGGGAGACTCCTATATATGTCGACCTTCATCCTCAACGGACAGGCAGACCTGCAAAAATGCTCAACCCTTCCTCATATCTGAGAGGGCACTCCCAACGAAGCCTCTCGAAATACTCAGCTTTCTTTCCCCCCGAGAATACCTCTGCAAACAAGCTACACTAGAGCAAGAATATCTCATATCATCAGGGTTAAAAGCAAGAGTATCCTATATCGTGCTTTTTCCCTGTCTTTTCCTTTGGCCTTGTTCTTACCTGCAAGACAAGGAGAAAGAGAGCAATTAGTCAGCACTTGGAATCAAGCTTCCAGTCCAGAACTGACTGCCTGGAACCCCATTGCTCTCGAGTACTCATCTTCAACATCTTATGCTTCCCGAGAAGATACCACATCTGCCTGAGGAACAAATAGGGCAAGTGAGAAGGATACAAGGAAGCATGTGGAGACAAGCGCAACAGAACACGTGCCGATACATCCACTACTTTGTCAACAGCAAAAGTATCCCATATCAGCAGGGTCGAACGTACTCTAGATTTGATGGACTTGTTTTGACCATCAAATTCTTCAGTCGGCCTTATACTCTGGTGGAAACAAGAAAACCCTCCAGCCCAGTTCAAGAATAAGCCTGTGGAAAGTTACTTATTCAAAAGCAAAAGTATCTCATATCACCTTTTCTCCTTTTCTTCTCTTTATCCTTCATGCTACCTGCAAGATAAGGAGAAGGATAACAATCAGCCGGAACTCGAAATCAAACTTCTGATCTGGGACTGATTGCTTGGAGCTCTGATTGCTTACCTTGTCTGTCACCTCTTTCAGCAGATCCCCTAGCTCGGCGACTTGGGGGACTCCTACTACATGGTTGTATCGTGCTTGACCAAGCCTGAAACTACAAGTAAGTGTCAAGTGAAATTGATACATTACCTTGTGCATCTCCACCAGTTAAAGATACCACCCCTGGAGGGAGGAAGAGTACTTCCAAAGAAGATGCCACATCTACCTATGAGACAGATAAGGCAAGTGAAGACGATACCACACTTCGGTACTTAAAAGTTTCGTGATTACGAGATCATTCTTCCACAATATTTCCTAATGTCATTTGTACTAAATCATTCACTTGTACTCACTAAAGGAGAGCTTGAACCTATATACTGTGTAAACCCTTCACAATTAATGAGAACTCCTTTACTCCGTGGACGTAGCCAATCTGGGTGAACCACGTACATCTTGTGTTTGCTTCCTGTCTCTATCCATTTACATACTTATCCACACTAATGACCGGAGCAATCTAGCGAAGATCACAAACTTAATATTTAAGATGATATTCTTTGGTGTATGCTTTTCACAAACGATATAGTGTTGATAGATGAAACGCAGGAAGGGGTAAACGTGAAGCTTAACCTTTGGAGAGAAGTGTTGGAATCTAAAGGTCCTCGCCTAAGTCGATCAAAGACAGAATATATGGAGTGCAAGTTCAGTGCAAACGGAGGCCAAAATGAGTTAGGGGTGAGGATCGGAGATCAGGAAATACCAAAGAGCGACTGTTTTCGCTACCTAGGATCTATCTTGCAAAAGAACGGAGAATTTGATAGAGATCTCACCCATAGAATACAAGCTGGATGGATGAAGTGGAAGAGTGCATCCGGCGTGTTGTGTGACCGTCGTAGGCCACTGAAGCTTAAGGGAAAATTTTATAGGACGACAATAAGGCTGACAATGCTGTATGGCATAGAATGTTGGGCGGTGAAGCATCAACACGTAGGTGTAGTGGAGATGAGGATGCTTCGTTGGATGTGTGGGCACACGAGAAAGGATAAGATTAAGAATGAGGATATCCGAGGTAAAGTAGGAGTAGCCGAAATTGAAGGAAAGAGGAGAGAAAATCGGTTACGGTGGTTTGGACATGTGCAAAGAAGGCCTACTGACGCTCCGGTTCGAAGATGTGACCATGGGACAGAGGTTCAGGGCCGAAGGGGTAAAGGAAGACCTAGGAAAACTTTGGAAGAGACCCTAAGAAAAGACTTAGAGTACTTGGATCTAACGGAGGACATGACACAAAACCGAGCGTAATGGCGTTCTAGGATTCATATAGCCGACCCCACTTAGTGGGAAAAGGCTTTGTTGTTGTTGTTGTTATTACATAATCTGGAATATGTCTTGTTTACTGATGGAAGAGATCTTGCTTCTGTGTATTAAATTTTAGTGTTGGATTTATTACCTAGCACATCATGTTACTTTGAGTTATGATAATTAAGTGGTGTTTTATATCAGGTTTGCATATGTTCCATGCCCACATAATGCCGAGACACTTTCTGCTATAATGATAGATTGCTTATCAGAATGGAATACTGATGGTAAGTTGTCTGCTCTCACAGTAGATAATTGCTCTACAAAATGATGCCATGATTGAGGATATAGTGACATATTGCAAGCTTTCACTTGTGTTAAACGGAGAATTATTTCATATGCGTTGTTGTGCTCACATACTTAATTTGATAGTTAAGGATGGATTGGATGTGATTAGGGATAATATTGAGACTATTTGGAATAGTGTTGCGTATTGGTCTGGGACAGCAAAAAGAGAGGAAAAATTTGTTAAGATAGCTCAACAAATGAAAATTAAGTTCTTTAGAAAGTTAGTCCTTGATTGTAAAACTAGGTGGAACTCGACGTATGTGATGCTTACCACTACATTGGTGTATAAAGATGTATTTCCTCGTTTAAAGCAGCGTGAGCCTTCATATAAAAATGTTCCAAGTGAAGAAGATTGGGCGAAGACTAACATGATTGCTGAAAAGTTGGAGATCTTTCACCAAGTGACTGAGTTATTTTCTGGGATCAAGTATCCCACATCAAATCTTTATTTTCCAAATGTGTGTCAGATTAGGATTGCAATCTGTAAGTGGCTTGAGTCTAACCATGTTGAAGTTAAGTTAATGGCAACAAAGATGTCAATCAAGTTTCAAATTGATTGAGTATTATTTTTCTCTTATTTATAAAGAGAATGCTCCATCGGAAATTGAGAAAGTCTTTGACTTGGCTATTAAGTTGGTCAAAGAGTATGAATTAAAGCATAGACCTAGGCTTCGGTCTTCTGAATCTTCTTCTTCGACTGATTTTCCATCTCAATCATGTGATTTCAGAGTTGGTGATCCTTTAACATCTTATGACCATGTTATGGATTTTACATCGGTAATGAACAATATGACTTAGACCTATATTTGGGGGAGAAAGTCTTGCCTAGGACTCAAGATTTTGATATATTGTCGTGGTGGAAGACAAATGGGATTAAATATCCTATTTTGCATCAGATAGCTCGAGATATTTTGACTATTCCTGTATCTACAGTAGCTTCAGAGTCTTCATTTAGTACTGGTGGTAGGATTGTTAGTCCACACCGTAGCCAACTTCATTCAAGCACAGTGGAAGCACTCATGTGTTCTTGAGACTGGTTGTGGGGTTAGATGCAAGATACTTACTGTAAAATTTCATATAAATTATGTATATGTTCAAAATTTTACTATTTTAGCCTAATTTTAATTTTTACTATTGAACCAGATTCAAACTCTACTCAGGTTGAAGATTCTTCATTCGGTGATGATACTGATGTGAATGTGGTAAAAACTAATCTTTATTTTTGTTTTTTACTTTGGAGTTATTGGTGATACTCATTCAATTTATGCATGCTAATTCAATTATACATTTCTTTTGTAGGCCTCTTTTGGTGACAACGAGTCAATGATACTTTGTGGTTGAACGTGTTCAAAAGTGTTTAGTTTCGGAATATTTTGGAGCTTTGAATTCTAGTATTCAAGATAATGACTACTTTTTGTTTTTAGAAGCTTTTCTTTTTAATCATATGGATTATAATTAAAGACTTGTTTGGGTGTAGCAAAAAATATCGTTCGTAAACTATTATTTCAATTATTGGAATTATATGAGGACTTAAATGATTAAAATAGGGAAATGTATGCTAAAATGTACTTATAACGGTGTTTAATTGTCAGAAAATTAAAATTATGCCAAAATTTTCTTTTGTAATTTTCAAATTGTCAAAAAAAAAAATAATGTAGAAGGGCGAAAGAAGGGTAAATGGGTAAAAAAAGGATAAACGGGCGAAAAAACAGGTAAATGGTTATGGTTAAATAGGTACACGGTTATGGGTATGGATAACCGTTTATAAACCGTTATGGTTGTGGGTATAACCATTTATGTAATTACCCAACGGGTAAACGGTTCTGCGGGTATGAACATAACGGTTATGGGTAAATAACCGCGGTTGCCAATTGAACTACAATAGCGGTGTGAACTAGTTTTGGTGCCCCTGCCACGGGGGAGCAAAAATTTCACCCTAGTTAGTTTGTAGTCAGAATATGTATAAGCCAGTAGCAATGTATACCAATTGTTAAGATTGGATTTTCGTTGTTTTTCAGAAAGTAGCATCAAACGGGGAATATTGAAAGGGTGGTGCTATTCTTTTACTTCTTATATCCGTCTCAATTTTCGACCGTTTGATCAAATAAATTGAAGATTAATAAACAAAAATTGATATAAGCGTACGAGGCTATCAGTCTTTATAGTCTTCAGGACGTGTTTGATTGGCTTATCTAAGTTTCACCGGACTGGCTAGGGTACTTAAACTGTGTTTGGAACAAGCACGGATTGTGTTTAATGAGACTAAGACAGACTTGCTAGGATTAAACGCTTCGCTAAGGGGCTTTAGCGAGACCCCCCGAAAAGGAGAGGTTTGCTAATCCTGTCTTTTACACTTGCTTTGCTTTATCTCAAGCTCGTCTAGGACTCTAGTATGCTTTGCATCGTCCTCACAGTTGTCCGACGATCGATGATGGACCTGCATCGTCGTCAAAAAGAAAATCCCCAAATGACGAGATATTTGAAAGAACACTGCCAGAAAAGCATTGCTGCAAGTGCAACGACGATCAGAAGTATCCCCAATCCCCACTTCAACGATGGCGCTGCAAGCACAAACCACCACTTCAACGAGGCCAGACCCAAAATCGAACAGATCTAGGCCAACCAAGCTTGCCCATTCGAGATTCCACGCCCATTGAACAAAAACCTGAAAAACGAAGCTCGATTCTTCGTTTTGCAGAAATTTTTTTTGGCAATTAATCGGAAAAGAGAAGGAAGGGAAGAAGAGCGTGGGATGGAGAGAACTAGGGAGATAAAATGAAGAAAAAGATGGACTCATGGAGGCTTCCAGAGAGAGGGAGAGTTTTTTTTTAGAATAAAAAAAGGTAGAATTAATTAATATAATATTATTATATATGAATTAAAAAATATAATATTGTAGTTTGGTATTATCCTTCTTTCTAGTCTAACACTGCACTAAACCCTTTATTAAGTTAGTTCAGTATAGTGTAGTCTAAGCCAGTCTAACTTAATCTCTGAAGCTAGTTCAGTCTGAGATAGTCCGGTACAACAAACACATCCTTATAGTTTATTGGGAATGATTAAAAATGATCTTTTCAAGAGATGAGTCAAAGATTTTTTTAAGGCAATTTTTATATACCTACTTTTTATTATTTTTAATAATATAATAAAATATTAAGTAAAGTGAGTGGAGTGAACCCTATTTAACCGGCAAAGATGGTCTTCACCAATTTAAAAATCCAAATGTTACGCATGGTAAAGTATTATTAAACAAGTGCACTTTTTGAAGAGATTTTTCTACGTATATCAGTCGGTACACTAGTCGACATAGAACTAGTGGAGGAAGCGGTATATTTTCATTTTCTACATTAATACTAGCATATGAGCACACAGAAAGTGTGTAAGAAATTTTTTTATTTTTGTTTTTGAAATAGAAGGAGAGAGGAAGAGAGTGATAGAGAATGTGGGAGTGGGAAGTTTTTTTATTTTTTATTTTTTATTTTTAATTAGAAATATGTTATGATTACATGTAAGTGAGGTTTTGAAAAAAAAAGTAAAATTTGATTGTGTGAAATTACATTTTTGCCTCATATTTCTTATTTATGTTCTATTTTAATTAAAGGCTTAAACTGATAATTTCGTAGAATTTTGATTAATAATGAGTGTTTTATTAGTAGAGATTATGACGCGTGGTGTGTCGGTTCGTATTTTATAAATACAATAAAATCTCTCCACTTCTTCACCAGAACTGCCACCTGAGAGATTAAGACGACTCGGTTTTAAGTCCTGAAAATACTGTTGATATCTCCCCACAAAAGCTTGAAGAAATTGGTACACAGATTCAAGGTCAGATACTGACTAGAAAAACAGTGACAGTCATGGTGCGATCGGAACCAGTGACAGTTCTAACTAGATGTCTCGGCGCACCGTGAATTGAGAATCCATGGCCTCTGTGACCGGGATAGAGGGCCAGGCATGGGCACGTTGCACATAAAGCTTTGAAATATTGCTAAGAGCTAAAATCGTTTTGTAACTGCACATTATTAAAACACTGAATTTTACAAGACGGCATTGTTTTCACCATGCAATTAAGTCTTAGAATACAGATTCCTTCAAACAATACAGGTTTCTTTACAAATTACAACTCAAGATTAAGCTGGTATTCCTGAGTTTTGACATTGAGTCATATTCCTGAGTTTTGACACTGGCTTGACTCAAGCACAACGAATTTAACAACTCCTGCAATCCAGAAAAGACACCCTGTAAGAAAATCACCCAACACAACTCACCAAGTTAAATGAACAAAAAAACACTTTGCAACGAAACCCATTTTACTCGGTCGTCAGAAGATTATAAGGTGGTCAGGGGAAACCCAGTCGACGAAGCAATGCAATACAAAGAATACCCTAAACTTATATGCGGTTAAAGACTTGTGTGACATTTAGAAAGCCATGGTTGTGGCTATTTTGGAGTAGCTGATAAGTCAGTAATGTGGGTGACCTGTATTGGCAAAATTCACCAGACCAATGTATAGGGTGGGTCGGAAACTGTGTTTGGGTAAGGACCTTCAAAGTATGAAGATATCGCCAAGTGATGTTATTTTAAATAGGAGTATTATACATCTATTTGTTTGGGCAACCTGCTCACTAAACTGCAACTAATCATGGATTTGCAAGTTTAATTTCAAAGTTCACATCAAACCCTAACTGGCTTAAAAATTATAACAGCCATTGGTAAACACATACCAGAAAACAACAAAATTCAAATGTGAAATATGATTTCCAGTTCCACTGAGACTTATAATTATCTAACTTTCTCAGCAACAAAACAACTTGCTCCCTCTTAAAGAGGGAACAATATTCGTTGTTAAAAAACAAAACTAGAAGATCGCAACAGATGGAAGCACTAGGCAAGCAAAAGAAACACAATGTAGGTTGTGAAACAAAGTGATGCTGGGAAAGGTTGACCGCATCCACTAAAGAACCAGAGAGCAAAGAGACGTTGACATTCGATTTAGAACCAGAGCAAGAAGTGGCAAGGAAGAAAGGAAGATAGAACAGGGAATTTGCTTCAATGAAGGAAACAAGACTATCTGACAATAAAGAGCAAAAATGCTTTTATGAATGTACATAAAGAAGATAGATACCGAATTATACAAAATTCGGGATCTGTTCTCGCCAGAAAATCATATTATCTTAGAATATAAATTACCGCTTTCAAGTACTACAAGTTTCAATATAAATGTTAATTCGAAACGAAGAGCTTTCCCTAATTGCTATACCTCAAAAAATGACAAATAATGTAAGACTCCTGCAATCCAAACCGGAACCAAATGCCATCAAATACACAAATCACCAAGATTGAAAAATGAAAATCTTCCCCAACAAATTCAACCAAGTTGAATGAACAAAACACTTTCCAACGAAACCCATTTCCTCAAAACTTAGTTCACAGAAAACTATACAGAGATCAGAGACAAGCGAGTCAACACAGTGATACAACTCATGATCACTACACACAAAAAAGCCATAAATTTGCAAAGCAAAAGACCATACAAAGACAACATCAAAGAACAAATCTAGGAAATAACAAAATCCAAAACATTTTCAGTTCCACTCAATCTTATATTACTCCAACTTTAAAATAGATGTCTCAGCAACCAAAAATATTGTCCCCTCTTACAGATGAGACAAAAACTCAGGAGATGGTAACAGATAGAAGAACCAGAAGCGATAAGGAAGCAGAACGTAGGTTGTGAAATGACGTGTGCTAGGAAATTGAAAGGTTGGAGAGATCTGTTGAAGAAGCAGAGAGCAAAGTAGCATCCAATGAAGAACTAGAGAGAGACAGAAGAGAAAACAACGAAAGGAAGACAGAATCAGGACATACAGAACTATGCAAATATTTGGGTGTGGGAACTGTTCTCACCAGAAAAAACATATTATCTTCGAATGCAAAGTACCACTTTCAAATAACGTTCAATATAACTCAATATATAAAAGCAGAAGTTATTAATTCAAAAAGAAGAGCTTTCCCAAGTTGCTATACCTCAAAAAAGCACAAATAATGTCACTACTCTGCAATCCATACCAGAACCAGGACAGAAACTATCGAACACACAAACCACCAAGACTGAAAAAGGAAACAAATCACACACAGACACACAAAGACAGGACCAAAGAACAAAACCAGAAAACCTTAAACTTCCTAAGCACAGACCAGAAAAACAAAATTAAAGAACAAAACCAGAAAACAACAACAAAATCCAAATATGCTCAGTTATGCGATAAAACTCATAATCACTACACAAAAAGTCCTAAATTTGCTAAGCAAAGTGCAATCAAAACACAGAATCAAAGTAGAAAACCAAAACACGAAACCGAAACACAGAACCAAAGCACAAAATCAAAACTTGTTAAGCACAGATTATTAGAAAACGAAAGAGAGATGTACCGATACACAAATGTTGCTTAACTTCCTCCAACACAGAAGAAGAACCTAACAACCAAACACATACAATTTAGTTCATGAATCGATATTATCGCATAGATAGTTAAGTAGAAGCTCTCAGAAAGTTAAATTAATTTTTACCTCAAGCGACGGAGATTGGGGATCACTACTGGGTCATCCCTCAGTTCCTCGCCCACTAGCCGGAATATCACCTTCCCGTTCTCAGCAAAATAGTTAGCCCGAAAGATCATTCTCGCCGTTTCACCGCCGGAAAGCACGGCGGTGACATGAATGCTCCGATGAATACGAGAACTTAAGCTTCGGTTTATGAACTTGCTGCCCTTGATCTCTCTGCTCTCCCCAGGTCCGAGCCTATCAATCAGCCTGCCCCGCCTTTCATCGCCCTCCACCTCCGTTATCTCAAGAACCACACCCGGACTCGTCGCATTCACGAGCTCCACCGATCGACTGAGAAAGCCACCCATTGAAAAGTCGATTTTCCCCACCCAAACCACCGGAAGCCCACGCCAAAAGGATCTCCATGTCGCGCGCTCATTTTATAGGGTTTCCTCCCCACGCGTTTCCATTTTTTTTTTGGCGGGGGACGTTGGAGGCCGCAATGTTTTGGCTTCTAGATGCTGCCTGCTGCTCGAGCGTCGTGGATTCAAGAATCTAACTAGTAAAAGTCGCAGATCCCACGGAGAACAAACTTATTCCCTTTCCCAGAGAAGCTGAAACTAGTATCGTTTGTCAGAAATACCCCTAACTTTATTCACAATTACAAATGGAAAAAACAGTTATTTTTTTGGAAAACTAACCAAAACACCCTCAAAACTTTACTTTTAATCATAAGGACAGATTTTTTCAAAAATGCCAATCCTACCCTTCACACATAAAGAAAATGTGGCAAACTCTGCAGCAACCAAGACAACATAAATTCACATGACATTCAAGCAAAGACAAGATAGCCAGCTTTCAGAAACAGTGTCACTATTCAGAAAATTGTAAATAGATGAAATGTTATTTTAAAGATTTAGATTTTGTATATAAGGGAGTCTTTCCTCCCATACAGAACATATCTCTCTCAACATCTGAAAACACCATACTCACTTCATACACTCTAGCATTCGTAGCCTTCATAGCATCCTTGTAAACACTTCTTTGTAATCACTTTCTTGTAAACAACTATCACTGTAAACATTCCATATATCAATAAAAGTTCAAATGTACATATTCAAGCAATCTCCAAGTCTTAAGTAAGTTTTCTTTTCCTTACTTAGTGTGTTTGTTTAATTAGACTTCTAGTCCAAAACAGGGAAACACTATTGTGGTTATATTATTACCCTGCTAAACTGACGATCATACTTTGTTCGAGCACTCTGTTATAGTTGAATGTTTGCCATACAAATAACTGGACATTAACCAGGGTACCTCTGAGTTCTTCGTACCTCTGAGTTCAGCCTTTAAGGCCTTATACTTGTACTGTGGGTGGCCGTCATGCTGAAACATGTCGAGTTCCATGTGCAAGGTTCTATGTCTAGTTGTTATAATGGTCATCCGACTATTTAACCGAGCATGCGTTTCGAATTTGGTATCAGAGCCAAGTTTAGCATTTTAATAATATAAGCATAATAGTAAAGTACCTTGAGGATAGAAGTCATTGATACAACTGATATCATATTTGTTTATTGTGTATGAACAACAGATATTATTGTCCCAGACATCCAACTATAACTAGCATAAAGAGAAGATTAACATATATATCCAAAAGAATTATTAGTACTTTGAAGAAACAAAAGTTTTATCTTGGCTATCTTGAACATCCTTCATTTATTCGTAAATATAATAATACAGAAGTGCAGCATAAAGTTTTGGAAGCAAAAAGAACAACAGATCAAGCTTTAGAGACCTTGAGAGAAGAAAGAGAGTTTTTAAGAAATCAGTTAGCTGTAACTCTAGAGAAGGGAAGACTGTAGTTTATGATAGATTATCTTAATTTAGAAATTAGTGAACCCCAAAAAAGAAAAATAACTTTAGACCAAAATAGTTTAGTTTGTTATTTTCCATCAAGAAAGCATAATCATATTTTGCACAGTGAAGAAAATCCGCAAGCCAATAGTATTATAGATCTTATTATTAGTCAAGCAGAAAATATAAAATTAGAAAATAATAAGCATAATCATTTGTTAAACCAGTTGTTAGAACATTTTCAGAAAAAATCCATAAAGATAATTAGACAAAATTTAGATTATATTACATCTCAGTTAGAAGATAATAATAAAAATATTCAAAGGTTTCCTAGCAAAAGAGAGATAAAAGAGCTTGTTGACCTCATAGATAGTAAGCCAAAGCAAGTAGAACTTAGGTCATTAGAAATAGTTGAACAACTAAAATTAGAAGTTCAAAAAATTCAATTTGTACAAAAGGAGTTGAGAGAACAAGTAGATAAGTTGCATAATAAAATAGACAAATTATTAGTTTAATGACAGATTCTAGAACTAGCAGAAAATATATTCAAGCTTTGAAAGAAATTAGTAAATTAGATAAAGACCCAGTAGGATTAACAGATTTTTCAACACAAGTATCCAGTAGTAATATTCCCATTAGGCAAAATAATTTGATTATCCAATTAGTTTTAAGTCTAGCTGAAAAATTAGATCAAGTTGAAGAACAAATAGCAGAAATAAACCAAGTTTTACATAACGCATCTTCATCACTTCCACCATCCTTGCTAGATAAATTAGAAAATTTAACTTTGAGTGCAAATAATAATAGAAGACCTAAGCTAAATCCTTTTGATAATAGAAAATGGAACTCTTTAGGAAAAAAAGAAAAGAAGTAGTTAGAGCGGAAGATATTTATCCAAATGAAGAAGAAGCACAAGAATTTATTCGAAGAGGTTTTGAGAGAACACAGAAAAATAAATATAACTTGTATCAACTAAGTTTATTTGAAAACAGAAGTAGAATTGTAAGCAGCATCAGTCAACATGAAGTTAGTTGTATTGATAAAGAAGTCACACTTAATCTAATTAGTAAAGAAGCAGTTACTCATTTGAGAAAATCACATTTTAGTCAGATTCATATAGGAACAATATTAATTGGAATAGCAGGATTAACCAGAGCACAAGTAGGTACAAAGGCTTTAGTATGCATATATGATGATAGATAGGATAATCACCAACAAGCAGCAATAGCAACAGTTGAAGTAGACTTAAGCTCAAACTTAGCAGTCATAGGTTGCATTCCAAATTATGTTATGACGATTAATGAATTTAGTAAATATATTAAAGTGAGCATAAGAACAAAAAATTATAATATGAAAGGAGAATATAAAAATTTGTGTATTAGCTTAATGTATATAGGTAAAGTGTCTGATAGATATAATCATAAGTTTAATTTAGAGTTTCAAAATTTAGTTCAAACATTTGGCAGTAAGCAAGTAAATATGATAGAAGCAAAACCCGTAGATAATAGCTTTTTAGAAGGAACTCAGTGGACATTGCCCAATTTACAAGTAGCACAAAATAGACAACCAGATAAAGTACAAATATATGAAACTAGTACAGGTCAAGCAACAATTAGGTTTAGTAATTATAAGCAACTAGAAAAAATAGAAGAAGATGAGAGTGAAATTGAAAATGAAAGTGTGAACACGGAAAATTCCTGAAACGAAAGAGACAAGAACAACGTGCACAAACAAATATTTGTATTTTTGATGATTTTGGGTTACAATCTCTCTCTATTTTGATCATCTGATTCGATCTCCGTAAGGTGTGTATTTGTCGATGTGTGATTGATCCAAAGGGCCGTTGGGCTTGATCTAAGGATGAACGTTCTTCAAGGGCCGTGGACTTGATCTTGAAGGTGGATTTGAGCGGATCCTCAAAGGGGCTTTTGGGCTTGATCTTTGAAGAACAGTGATGAACGGATCTCCAAGGGCTTTTGGGCTTGATCTTGAAGAACAATGATGAACGGATTTTCAAGGGCTTTTGGGCTTGATCTTGAAGAACGGTTGAATGTGTGGATTTGTCGACGTTGTTGATCCAAAGGGCCGTTGGGGCTTGATCTTGGATGAACGGATGATGAACGATGGTGCTTTCTTCAAGGGCCGTCGGGGCTTGATCTTGGAAGAACGATGAACGAAGAATGAAGAACACTTTCTTCAAGGACCGTCGGGGCTTGATCTTGAATTGGTGGATGATTGTTGATCCAAAGGGCCGTTAGGGCTTGATCTTGGAAGAACGATGAACGAAGAACGAAGAAGGCTTTCTTGATTCTTCGGGAATCTGGATGCTTGAGAGCTTCGGCGTTTCAGAGCTTCAGAGCTTCAAGGTGTAATATGAATTGGTCCTCCTCCAATGAATGAAATGGGCTTGTATTTATAGAATTTTCCAATGCCTAATTTTGAATATAATATCTCAGATGAAATAAGTCGTTTCTGCCAGGTGTTGACACGTGTCCTATTTGATGACTTTTCCAACTCATTTCAATTTTCGTTGAGCCACACGCTACGTGTAAAATTTATGTAATACATGAGCGTTGACACTTTGATTTATCGGTCAACATTTATTTACCGAAATTTCGATGTCTACAAATGCCCCCACTTCAAGGCGCGTCGTATACATGTGATTGTCACGTGTAGGAGATGCGTTTTGGAGTCCCTTACTGTAGATGTCGATCCAAGGGCAGTTGAGGCTTGATCTTGAATTGGGCTGGAGATTTCTTCAAGGGCCGTCAAGGCTTGATCTTGAATTGGGCTTGAGATTTCTTCAAGGGCCGTTGAGGCTTGTTCTTGAACTTTTGTTTGAAATTTCTTCAAGGGCCGTCGAGACTTGATCTTGAAGGTTGAAATTGGGCCACAAGGAGCTTCATGTGGTAGATGATTTTTGGCTTTGGTAGTGGATGAATCGGCACGTATTTTGTTGCGCTTGTTGACTTTCCACAGCTTTGATCTTGAACTGGGTTGGAGGATTTTCTGGATTCCTCCAATTGTTGATTTTCCACAGCTTATTCTTGAACTAGGTTTTGATTCAAGGGTGGTAGACACTTGATCTTGAATCAGACTTGTGATTTCTTCCAGGGCCGTCGAGGCTTGATTTCGAATTTGGCTGAAAGCTTCTTCAAGGGACGTTGAGGCTTGATTCTTGAAGGTTGACTCGAACACATGACAAGCAGGCACGAGGTGAAGGTGACAACTTGTTGCTCTGTTCAATCTTTCTAATTCACACCTGAGCAGTTTGGTCAACGGTATGATCTTCAAGATTGATGGGCTCTTCTTCCAGTTGGTGACTTGATCTTTAAGGATTTGATTCAAGGGTGGTGAATCGGCACGTGCAGCCCACAACGCCTAGTAAGTCGACCCAAGAATTTGAGGGTCAAAACAAGTTCACCGTCCTCAGGCAGATGCGACATCTTCTCGAGTTCTTCATCTCAGACTCTTTCTGCTGAGTTGACTGTGCATGCTGCATTCTTCTCTGCTTGTTTCTTCAGGCAGATGTGGCAGCTTCTCGAGTTTCTCAGTTCGGACTCCTTCTGCTGAGTTGACCGTGCCGACCGCATTCTTCTCTGCTTGTTCCTTCTGCACCTTGTCTCCACATGCTGCAAGGTATCATTTTCACTTGCCTTATCTGTTCTCCAGGCAGATGTGGCAGCTTCTTTGAAAGTACAGCAGCAGTGGAAGGCGA